CTAGAGGTATTGGTCAACATACTAATGACAGTGAAGATAAGGCAGACCATTTTTTAGAGCAGGGTGTGACAGAAACTTCCCAGACAGCTTGATTAAAGCGGAAAAAAATCAAATTATCAAGAATAAATATTCAGTCCTACTTTTAAACATTCAATCTTTGCGGAATAAAACAAGTTTACTCTATTTCTTGATTCCTGCAATAATCCGAATATTATTCTCTTAACGGAACACTGGCTAAAGAACCAAGAACTAGTTAACATACCAAATTACGTAATTTTGTCAAACTTCTGTCGCACTCACTCTGAACATGGTGGTTGCATGGTTCTGATTAATAAGTCTTTTCTTGGGGCAAATATGTTTGAATCAGTGAATAAATTTGATGTATTGTTAAAAGAAATCACATTTGAGTTCAGCATTGTCTACTCAAAAAAACTGAACCTGTACATAATCTGTGTATACCGATCGCCCAGGTCAAATACAATTGAATTCTTGACAGGTCTTGATGGCCTCTTGGCTCAAATCTCCCCATCTTCCAGGGTGCTTCTCGGTGGAGATTTTAATATAGACTACCTTGTCGACAATGCAATCTCAACTTTAACGTTAAAAAACCTTTTGACTTCCAATGCTCTAAATATGCATGTCGCAATGCCTACGAGGATTACAGATACATCATCTACGTTAATTGATTACTTATGTTCAAACTATGGCGCGGAAGAAGTGGATTGCAGGGTTGTCCATGCAGCTCTGTCTGATCATGAGGCAATAATTTGTGATATTTTGGAGCCAAAAATAAGGTACGAAGAAAAGGTTAGGCTTGGTAGGGTATTTAATAGGAATAGTTATAATAGGTTTTATCAGGAATGTAACGAGGAATCATGGGGTGATGTGGCAGAACAAGAGGAACCCCTAAGCACTTTTCATCAGAAAACCATTAAAATTTTTGAACAATGTTTTCCCTTAAGGAAACTTAAAATGAAAAAACAAAAGCCTTGGTTTACTAAGGGCCTCAAAACTTCCTCAAAAAATCTTCCTTGTCTTCATAAAATTAGGAAATTCACTGACAGTTTATTTTTTCACAACTTCTTTAATTCATATAGGTCTCTTTATCGGAAACTTATTGCCGCTGATAAAAAGAAATACTACCACGATCGTCTTAATTGTTCATCAAATAAACAAAAAGAATGTTGGCAGATCATAAATAATATTCGCTCCAACAACTCTTCAAAACCGTCATCGTCCCCTGAGGTTACTCCCGATCATTTAAATCAGTATTATTGCAGTATTGCAAGAAATTTAACAAAAAATATCAAACCCAGTGAAGATTCGATGTCCTATATGACTGGAACATCAGTGGTTAATTCATTTTCATTTACTCCAACTAACTTGCATGAAGTAAAACAAACCTTGAAAAGTATTAAGAAGAAGAATACCTCCGGTGAGGATGGGCTGTCTGCGAACATCTTGCTTAGCATGCCTGATATGATTCTGTCTGGCATACTTGTGAACTCTATAAATATCTCGTGGACAAGTGGTATATTTCCTACAAGCCTAAAGTCCGCAATGGTGATTCCCTTGCATAAGGGGGGGGACGAGTCCAACCCAGCAAATTTTAGGCCGATTTCACTACTGTCCACTCTATCTAAGTTGATTGAAAAGTTAACTAAGACTCGTGTCATGTCATTTCTGGAGCGTAACAAAATTCTAAGCAAGACCCAATTTGGATTTCAAGCCAACACTGGCACAAACAATGCTATGTTCCATTTGCTCACTCGGTTATTTTCGTCCATCAACCAATCAAATGTAGCTGCGGCGGTATTTTGCGATCTAGCAAAAGCATTTGATTGCGTAAATCATTCCATTCTTCTTAAAAAACTTTACCATTATGGATTCCGGGGTGTCGTTTTAAAATGGTTCGAATCTTATTTGAGTAAAAGGACCCAGCGAGTTCTAATAGGATCGGATGCATCCAGACCGGGCCATGTTGAGTGGGGCGTGCCGCAGGGTTCAGTGCTTGGCCCTGTTCTATTTCTGCTTTTCTTCAATGACTTGGCTATGCTTCCAATTAATGGAAAGTTTACCATTTTTGCTGACGATACTACCATATCGTGGAGCTGTAGTGACGTTGCTACTCTTAAGGCTGCCATTTCAGGGGACTTGGAATTGGTAAAGAGGTGGTGAGATGCTAGTTTCTTGACGTTTAACTATGATAAAACTAACCTGGTTTCTTTTAAATGTCATATAGATGATATTGGGGTTGGAGATGGATTAATAGCAAGGCGGGAGTATAGCAAATTTTTGGGTTTAACAATCGATTCCAATTTAAAGTTCGATGAACATATTTGCTCTCTCAGTAAGAAAATAGCTTCTGGCTGCTATGCTGTGAAGACGACAGTCCGGGAGCTAGGGTTTAACTTCGGAAAATCAGTTTACCATGCACTAATTGAGTCACACCTTCGGTATGGCATTGCTTTTTGGGGCTCAACAACTGATCAGCTAATTGGTATGTTGTTTATCTTACAGAGGAGAGCGTTGAGATATCTTTGTAATGCTAACTACAGAGAATCATGCAAACCTCTGTTTAAATCCAAGAAAATCTTAACCATCACTTGTTTGTATATTTTAGAAACAGCAAGTCTCATTTATACTCATCGCAATGACTTTGTCCGGCCTTCTATTAGCTATGGCTATAGTACAAGATCTACCCAGCAAATTAACCTACAGCTTCCTATTCCGAAATCTTCGCTTGTTCATAAATCAATACATTATAATGGTATAAAGGTGTTCAACCATCTACCACAAGCAATTAAAATATCACCAACAATGAGATTATTTAGAAAAGGACTACGGGACCTACTTTCTGATAGAGCCTATTATGATTTGAACGAGTATTATCAAGACAGATTTTAGTCAATGATTTTAGGCAATGATTAGCATGTTTCTAACTTAGTATGTTTTGAATAACTGTGATAGAATGGGTTTCTTTTTTAATTTCATTATTTTGTTCGGTATTTGTACTTATTTAAACCTGAGTTTTAAGCTTTATGTAATTGTAGTGTCTTTCTATTTAATAAGTAACTTATTCAGTCGTGGAGTTTATAGTTTTATGCAAGGAAATACTCAATAAGTTAGGTACCCATATATTTTTTATTTTTTATATTTTTTATTATATTAATTGGTACATTTACCAAAGATTAATTTAGATTTAGATTTAATCTCGACTTTTGAAGTTTGTGTAAACTATGGTGTCTTTTTTTTGTCTTATTTGAAACTAATTTATCGGTAATATTAATGTGTAATTTTATTTGATCAGATGGTTATTCTTACCGTTTATTGTAACTGTCAGCAAAGCACAGTCTATTTTTTTTTTAATATACTGTGCTTTAGCTAAATATTAGAGCTGTTAAATTTTCTTACTGTTTCTGACGGTTTTTAAATAGTTTTGTTAGTTGTTAAGTTTTGCTTTGTCCACAAAACAATATGTAATGTTTTTATGACAATAAAGCACACTATCTATCTATCTATCTATCTATCTATTCGAAGATGAAATCACAAAATTGATACAATCACAATCTGTGCAAAACAGAATCGTCAACTTAGGAACACAATGGCACTTCATTCCACCAGCAGCCCCACATTTCGGAAGAATATGGGAGGCAGGTGTAAAATCGATCAAGCACCATCTCAAGAGAGTGATTGGAGACTGCACTTTGACCTATGAAGAATTAACAACGTTGGTGTATCAAATCGAAGCATGTTTGAACTCAAGACCACTCTACCCGCTAACAGAAGACACAGATGATTTCAACATCTTGACCCCAGGACACTTTCTGATAGGAAGAGAACTTCTAGCACCACCAAATTTGGAATCGACAGAACATTTAAACCTATCTCAACGATGGAGACACGTGCAAAAGTTAAAGAAAAACATTTGGAGCGCATGGTGCACAGAATACCTCACCAGACTGCAGCAGAGATACAAATGGAAGAATCAGACCAATAATCTACGAGTAGGAACAATGGTCCTAATCAAAGAAGAAAATATAACCCAAACCAATGGCCTTTGGGGAGAATTATAGAAACTCGCCAGGGACAAGATGGAGCAATCCTAGTGGTAACAATAAAGAAAGCAGGTGGCTCACCACAAAAAAGACCGATCCACAAGTTAATTCCATTACCGACAGAACACATACACCATTCATTCAGGAAAAGACTCTATCGCGTTAATTTTGGATTGTACAAGAATTGATTAGGTACGGATATATTATAAAGGCCGGTATTAGTTAGTGTTAGTAGTTTCTAAGTTTTAAATTGACTGTGATACGATTTAGATAGTGAATTTTGTGAGAGTTATAAAGAGTTAAGTTGTTTGAGTTAATTAGTGAAGTCCTAATTAGTGTCAGAGTATAGTGTAGTAACGTGGAATAAATTATTGTTGTGTTAATTGGACTTTAATTTTGGAATATACGAACCCAAGATTTCTGTTCTGTCACGATCCAGAGCCGTGACATACCTATTGATTTCTGATGTTGTTAGCAAAGGGCCTCTAAAATCAGGCTGCGGCTTTTATCAATTGAGTGTTTGGTTTTCATAAAACTAAGGGTTCAGTTCTGAGCAAACAGGACAATCTAAAATGAGTACCAAATACTCTCGAACTCTACGAATCTTTTTCTTTCTAATTTTATTATTTTGCCTACTATCGAACATAAAATGCTTTCGGATCTTTAATCAGTTCAGAGCGACCCCATCCAGATATTAATTATCCTGCAAGTAAATTTGTGCGTATGTATATCACGAGTAAATAGAATAATCAAATTGAAAAATGGCAGAACAGTTAATGGAATAAGGCACAATTAGATTCAAGCATTATTTGATAAAACTTGCACTATAAATCAAGCACCCAAAACTATATCACTATCTAGAATCACTCCTTTAGTAGCACTTCGATCCCTCTGTAATTTTGTAGGTCAATCCCATCTAGCAATTTCCAATAATTGAACATCTAATACGAACATACAATTTATTGATACAACAACTAAGTATACTAAATATGATAATTAAATATACTATTATTCAAAACATTTTGGCACATAAAAGTTAGTAAATAGAGAAAGCGACATTCACCTAACGGTTTGTCGATAAAAATTGTTATTTACCAAGAACAAAAACATTTAAATATATTTTGATAAATCTATAATGTTACCAATTGAAAAAAAAAAAACCTACAACGTTTGTCACATTGCAGATAGAACTACTATTAAGCAAATTTCAAGGCATAGGTATAATATCACATTCGTCACTCCTAAAGATGACTAAAAAATGCTTTTTATCCTGTAATACTAGAACACGAAGTTCACTTTTTGAAAAGGGATCGCATTATCCAAGAATTACTTTTCGAAATCGACGGTGATATATTTCTAGCTTCGTCCTGTCTGTGAACATCGCCATTATTGTTACCATTTGTAGCCTCATCACCTGGCGCATTCGTGATATCAACAACTAGGCTTTGTCTGCATAGAGTTTCGACTGCTTGTTGCTTGTCCCTTTCTCTGTCTTTACCTCGACGCATTTTGACTTTCCGAAATTTGGATGCTATTGATGAAAAGGCGGATTTTGGGTCTTTGGATTTTTTTGGTTGGCGTGGTAGAGACACATAACCTTCTAAAAATATGTAGGTATTTCATTATAAAATTAACTTCTCATAGCTCAAATATAGGTACCTGCTCTGTATTCAGGTTTTATCCTGTTGTAAACATCAGGATCTACATTAATCATTCCAGCTGAAACTGATTTCATTAATGATCCAGGTTGGGTACTGTGATCTGTACTTGATTCACTTCCAACGCTTATTTGGCTAAGCCTAAAAAAAAAGACAGTCATCACTCAAATTTGAACATGTAAGAACTTATATTTACCTATTCCTTGGATGAAACTGGAGAGCTTCAATATAAGTTGGAGCTGATAGAGGCGCTTTCAAAAACTCTTCTTTGGCTTGTTGAATTTTCCTCATCCTTATCTCCGAAGAGCTTCCTCTTTCTTCCAAACAATCATTGGCTAAAGATATGTCAACTCTCAATTTCTTATGCTCCTCTTTTATGTTTGACGGCAAAGTTGACACATTTAGTGAAGCTTTTCTTCCAGGCACTGTCACTTGTTTGGCTGAAGATAGAAAACCAACACTAGAAGATTTTTGAACTAATTTCCTGTCACAAAGTAATGGTGATAACTTCTTCAAGTCTTCTTGGTACTTTTCAGTTTGCACTTTGACTCTCCTTTCCAGTACCGGCGATCTCCATGCTACAGGCGAATTCGAACCACTTGAACCTGCAGATTTAAGTCCACTCGATTGTTCGATGCTCTGATTATATTTGGCCATGATTAGTTTGATACCAGGTGATACTTCTTTGTAGACCTGAAAATATTTTGTGATAACAAATACTGGACACATACATGCTGAAACAGGTTATTGAAAATATCGCTCGTTGGTTGAGTTTGAACTTGATTTACATTTACAAATAGGTTACCTTTCTTTGAGGTACTGGAGAAGCTGGTAAAGGTGGAAGCGATGTTAAAGTGTTAGATTTTTCTAGTGGCAGCTGATTCTCTATTGGTTGCGTTTTGTCTTCTTTGGGCTTTTCAATTGAAGGCATATTGGCTACAGTCAAACTTTTACCCAAAGAAGTTTCTACAATTGGAGTAAACAGTTTCCTGGTAGTCTTCACAAATACCGTTATAGGAGAATCAATTGGTGAAGAATCGCGACGCGAATCGTCACTTTGATTATGGGTCGGTGCCAAAAGTTTTGGATCAAACTTGAACATGTTTCCTTCTGATATAGATCTGGTTCTGGTGAGTTTTTTGTGTTGTTTAATAGTTTTAGGTTCCTCTTCATCGTCCGTGTCTATTAGACTTTTGTTCATTGTTTTTTGTCGGTAACGGATTCGTTTCTTAACGGCACCTTGGCTGGATGATAAATTTGTTGAACCTATAAAACATATTACAATAGGATGGTTAAATAACATTTCCAAAACATATCTAGATTTTCTTTGCTTAGTGTGTATAAAAGCAAAAATATAAAATTATACCATTCCTACCTTCCATTTTAATAAATCGTCTTTTATCTTTATCGCTACTTTTCCTAGAGATATCACTGATATCACCTTTGCTATCCCTAGAATCGTTCGATAACGTTCTGGTCACTTCCAATTTATTTTTGCTAGATTTTCTCTTGGCTGGAGTGGTCAAATCAGTTGCAGCACAAATGTAGCTCAGGTGTCTACGAAGTTCAGCTATTCTAAAACGTATTTCCTTGATTTGATCGAATATTGTGGCTTGGTAAGAATGATGATTGTTGTGCAGACGGTCTGTGATGATTTTCATCATTTGCCCTGTCTGGAAGTTTTCAAAATTTATTATAAGCTGGTTTTTTGGTAATAGATGCTTACGAGTTGTAGCATTTCACTGGAAACAACTTGCACATTATCCAAAATTTCCTCCAAGTGTGAATTTGTTTTCTTGTCATCTTTGGGTATGTTGTTAGCGACCAGGTGATTCGCATCTTGCAGTTTTTGTAGTCGTTCGATTAAATTTTTAATGGACTGATTTTGTAGTTCGTTTAAGAACTACAAAAGAATAAAAAATCACTAATACTGTTCATCTTGTTTAAATACCAATTACCTTGAAACTTTTCTTGCTTTGCTCATCTTCTAAGCTTTTGTTTTCCACTAAACACCTAAAAAACCCAAAAATTTCTTAAAAATCTAGAAAAGAAAACACAAAAAACTCACCTTATCTCATCTTCGGTAACCTGAAGCTCTGTTAATAATTTCACAATATTCTCCATAATATCATAATTGATTTGCGCTCTTGCTGATTCCGATCTCCTTATTTTTGGCAACGCCACAGTTTCACTTTCACTTAAAACAAAATTCCTGTATTTAAAAATAATTATTTCAAAAATAATTCTTACCATAAAGGCTTAAACTCTTGTCTTTGATACACTGGCAACTGATGTCTTTCCATGGAACACAATACATGCAACGGCTCCGCAGTTTCTTCTTCATAATCCTCAACTTCGACCAAAACAGCTTCAGGCTCATCATTTAATATATCATCGAAATTTTCATCCAAGTAATGCTCCTCACCATCGAAAAAGTATTGCATTGACGATGATTTGGAGTTCATGCGTTCTTTTTCCAAATCATCCATATCGTTTAGTGATAATGATGATGGTTGAGGAGATAAAACTGGACAAGTAAGGTTCAGAGCGGATACTGCTATACTGTCAGCTGATTTTGAACGTGGAAGAGATGAAGCATGATGCCCTGAACTGTCTTTATTTGTGTTGCTATGTGCTGGAGCTTCAACTGCAAAATTTGATGAAATTAAAGCAAACGCTGATGATTCTGGAGCAATTCCTTGAGATTTCTCCCACTCGTATAATTTTTGGGCAAATTTCCTGGATATTCCTTCAAAACGATGAAACCCTGAAGGTGTATGGACTAGAATTTCTTTTTTTGTTGAACCTCCTAGCATTGATCTACGCAATTTTGTTAGCCTATAATATCCGAATAAGTTAGATATTTATAAAAATGTTCAACAGCTTACCTTTCTTCTCTTTCCATAAACTTTTGCCTTTCACGTTCCAATATTTGTTTCTCTTTTTCAATTTTGCCAAGTTCCTTTTCAAACCAATGGAGCTCCTTACTGGGATCTTTTACCTTTTTGCTTTGCTTTGGTGAGGAGTTCTTCCTGCTTAATTTAGGGCTAGGAGTTTTGTCTGTTAGCTTTTTTTGTTCGTTGTACGCTGCTGGTCCTCCTGAAGCTTTTATCTGCTTCCATTCTTCTAGTTTTTTTCTGAATTCGTCTGATATGGGAGGGTATTCAAAAACGGGTGAATGATCAGATGACCTAAAGACAGTTAAGATGAAGTATTTTTGGCAATTATTTAGGTAAAAGTTTCCATACCTGGGCCCTCCTAAGCTTTTCCACTTAGTGATTTCACCTAACTTTCTCCTAGATCCTGACGCGTTGTGAGCTTTCTTGATTTTCTCCCATTCCTGAAGCTTTTTCTTAAAATCCGGCGGCAAATCGTATTCTCTTGTCATTTGTATACACCTAATTATATCCTCTCGTTATATTATATTTTTTTAAAACATCTATTTACCTGTGTTTGCCAGTTGGAGATTGATTTTTGATCTTGTGCAAATCTTCCATTTTCTTTACGTAAAATGGATCTCGATTGTCGTCTCCAAAATTGCAGGCCGAAGGAGTATTTACTACTCCAGGTGAATTCTAAAATTGGGAAAAATTAAATAAAACCCCTAAAAAAGTCTATATTTATTGCCTGTTTCAATCTTTCCCACTCAGAGATTTTTTCTTGGAATTCCAAACTCAATTTCTTCTGCAATTTCTTATAGCTTCTTCTGATTTCTTCTTCAGCGCTACTGTCTTCGGCATTTTGTTGCCTAGAGGTTTTTCTTGATCGCTGAAGATGATCTTGTGTGAGAAAGGCTTTACGTACTCGAGACCATCTTGATGATATTGTTTCAGAATCAGACTAAAGGATGCAGTAATTTTGATAAGATGTTTTATTAATTGAAATAAAATAACTTACAGTACTTTCTTCAGCTAAAGCACGTTGATAGCGTTCTACGATATCTTGGGGCACCTCACTTCCACACGGACTCGTGCTGGAATTGGTGTATATATTTGGTGATGGTGAAAGGGATATTCCCATGCCTAGAAGAGTAATTATGGTTTCCAGCAATATATCTATTGCACTTAGACTTACTTTTGCTTTCGGAATCATTAGCTTCGAATACATCTTCGTTATCGGTGCAAAGTTCTACGTCGATTTGTATATCGTCACTAGCTGCAGACAATCTATGCTTCTTTCGAATACTGTTTCTGGTATTGATAATATCTTTCATTTTAGCCCACGGGGTTCGATGGTATTTACTGCCGTGAGGCTTTTGACGATAATCCTATGGATAAAAAAGATTTCAAGATGGTATCAATGGACTTCTGTAATGAAATACCTTTGAATTTGGAATGTAGTTGTGGGGATTCTCATCGTCGGAGCTTCGGAAATCATCACATGCAGCACGGCCTGAGAATAAGACAAGTAGTGTTAAAAGGTTGTTAAGGGTGAGGGGCTTTCATTAAATTTAAAATAATCCAAAGGCATGGTACACCCTTATCGCGTCCAAATACTAACACCTACTAATTATAACATTTAGTTTATATCGCCTAAAGCGTAGACATTAGAAATATGTCTGCACCAAAGATTCCACTATCTTTTTTGTGGAAAGTAGAAATTCTCCACAGAAAGATCCATTTAATCAATAATTTCCTTGGCCTTTATTGACTGGGGCCAGATGAATTGTTTCGCCTGTCTTTGTCCTGGAAACGTGTTCCAGCGGGAAGCTTGTTGAGCCTGTACCCAATTCTGGACTTCCCCTATTATGTGGCTTTTTGTAATACCAAAGAAAGGTTCAGGTCTAAGGAATGAGTTGCAGCTCCTTGTCTTGCAAGTTGGTCCGTTATTCCATTCCCCTCGACTTCTTGGTGCCCTGGTACCCATGACGGGGTGATTCAATTGCGAGATGCCAGTTGTTTTACGAGTTGTTGACAGTCCCATGCCAGTCTGGACTTAGTGACAGAGCTACTCAAAGCTCTTAGTGCTGCCTGACTGTCGGAATTCTCTCGCTCATCCTGTATATTTCTCCTAGAGGTGTTGATAGTCTACAAAGTGGGCCATATACCCCTGCTCCAGTCTACTCTGTTTTCGATCCGTCTGGAATTCAGGTTAGACATTTTTTTCCTTGCGGCCCTCAATAGTCACTTTGAGTATTCAAATTCGCACCTGTGTTACATGTGGTCAACTGGTTTTGTGGTCACATTTTTGCATTTCATGATAATGCTCGCATCTGGCCGACAAAGTTCCCTTCCTTATTCTCGAGACTCCCATTTCGGCCTCTTTCCTTACTATGATATCTAGTGGGGGGGGGGGGGGGAGACATTACCCCCATTGCGGCGGTTGGATAGGTATACATTGCTCCTGTAATTCCAAGACATGCATACTTTATACAGTTGCCAATCGCTTTTGCGCTGTCTGTTGTTTTACTTTGGGCCACCATGCTATTGCTCGTAAGTGACTATGGGTCTTATAACCATGGTAGATAACCAAAAGATCATTTTTGGCTTTAGACTCCAAGTCTTGCTAAATAATCTCCGGCATGTCCAGTATAATATGTGACTATTGCAAGGTCGGTTATTCTTCTGGTTCCAAGTGAGTTTCTGATCCAAGATACCTACCTAATCTCACTTGCAAAGTTGATTTGTATTATAAGGTTCGGGCGGTGATTTGTTGGGGTTGATGATAAAAACCCTAATAATGACATTTAGGGCCTTTTGCATAAGGTCACTGATGATCCTGTCATGCATACCTTTAATGAGGACTAAGAGGTCGTCAGTATATCCTAAGAACGCGGTGAGAAGTTCATCTACTACCAGTGACTACAACACAGCAGTGGAGACAGTATAGGTATACCCGCATGGGGGCATTCCTTGACTGCCGAGACCGTTGCAAAGTCACTGCTTGGATTTTTTTATTGTCAGTTTCATGCTAATAACTACATAAACTGTGACCTTTTTCTAATAGTAAAAAAAAATAATGCTGTGTAAATTACAGAATAACATGCCAGCACAATAAAATGAACAAGGAAATACAAACGAAATGTAATAAAACAATCAACAGAAAGATATCACAAACTTAGGAACTAAGCGTAATAGAGCAGGCATTATTGCATGTCATAATTGTAAAAATAGGTAAGTAAAACCAAAAAAACAAAAGATACAGTCTAGTAGAGTGCTTCAGCATAGTATTCATCACAATTGTAAAAGGGGTAATTTTGAAAGCATCAGGTCATTACTGCTTTTTATAAGGCAAACAGACTCTAGGATAAAGATAGCAGTCAAAGTTTGAATTTTGTGCTTTTTGAATAATGGTTTTCAATGTTCCCATGACGCTGCTACACTCAAGATTCGAATAGCCCGCTTCTGGATTCGGAGCACCGAGTCAAAAATTTTGGAACAGTAACCCCAAAAGGCCACACCGTACCTTGCCCAAGACTCGAACAGAGCATAATACACCATTCTTGCTGAGTGCAAATTGAGTTCCTTAATAACTATTTCAAGAGCAAAAGGCAGATGATAGTGTAGGTTCAAGTTGGATAATAAGTTCTTTAAAATCAATTGTTTATCAAGCACCAGTCCAAGAAACTTTACACAAACTACTGGTTTGAATCACATCATTCTCTAACCCTCTTTAGATCGTTCTCAATCTTATTCTCAAGCTCGTCCCTTTTACCTGCCCACAATATAGTGATATCATCAGCAACTAATGGCGTCTTTTTTTTTTGTTGAAATCCAAACTGAGACTGTGTGATAAAGTTAAACTTTCCAAAGTGAGAGGTAATTCTTGTTTTAGCAATTTTTTCAATAACTTTGGAAAGAGAAAGACAATAATGATATAGGGCGGAAATTTGATCGGTCCTCCAAGTCGCCACTTTTATGAATTGGTAGAACAAAAGCTTGTTTCAAACAATCTAGAACATACCAATGAGAAAGGACTGATTGGTAAGTTTAACAAGAACTGACAGAGTAGGTAGCATCTGGAAGATGTTGCAGGATTTTTGTGGACAAACCATCAATGTCTGAGCTTATTTTGGTTTTTCCATGTTTGGAACCTACTTTATCTCCAGAAGAGATGTTGGAGCCAATATTAGAACTTCAGGAATATTTATATAATCTGAGAAGGAAATAGGATCTACCGATGAGCTGAAATTTGAGGTTAAGTTTTCTGCAACTGAGCACTAATAATCCTTCATCAACTCTGGTTCAATGCTAGTTTTGCAATTTAAATTCTTGGTTTTTCCTCGTAACGAATTGATTATTTGCCAGTTTTCCTTAGATTTTTCCTTAGCTTCATCTTATTTATTCTGATAATATCTTTGCTTTGCGACTTTGATGCATTTTTTATAGATGTTTCGTTATCTCTTGTAATAGCACCGGCTGGTTCTTGATCAAGGACGTGAGAGACGGCCTACTCAAGCCAAGCAACGTGGTGTCGGGTTGGAGATTGGATGGGTGACCGCAGTAGTACGGGACGGTAGGTCGCCCGCGCTGCCGCCAATCATCAGATCTCCAAGTATGAATGAGAAGGAGAGAGCCCATACAAATGAAATACAAAAAGCCTATAAAGGCTGCAGTGTAGAGTATGGGCTCGAAAGGGTGAAATTAAATAGAAAAAAAAATCTCTTGTAATGACCCGGGAAAAATAAACCCGTAATTTACAAGGACTTGAAATACAAAAACAATAAATTTAAATGTGATCAAATAATGTAAATTGAATCAAATAATCTAATGTAAATTAAATCTCCAATATTCAATATTAAAAGAAGAGTTCTAACTTTCTTAATTTAGCATTGAAACATTGAAATATCTTTAAAATAAGTTCAAATTTTAATAGTCACCAAGCGTGTGTCATCACATTGAACTCATCATAAATCAAATCCATAAAAATATTAAAATACAAGGTTAGGTAATTAAATTGGGTCCCAAAGTGACAGAATTATAATAAAATTATGATTTACGGCCGACACGAGTGTGTTTTTTTTTTGATTAGGTGTTCCCTCCGCATTCTTTCAAATCTTTTGACCAGGAAATTGCGATATATACGGCTTTAGACAAATAATTATATTTCTTAGAAAAAAGGAAGGTTAATGAAAGTACATGACCCGAAATTTTTTGGGGGATCGAAAAATATAAAAACAGCAGTTTCGGAATTTTGGGATCAGTTCAGATCAGTTCAGCTTTAGAGTCTTGAGTCTACAATAAGATTAATGAGTTAGTCCGGACAAAATTCGCGAAGATTTTTTTTTTTATTATGTTGCCTCGGGAAAACACGCTAAATCGATTCTTGTGAAAAAAGTAAAGAAGTCGTGAAAAAAGAACATACAACACAAGAGCTCTAAATAATCAAAAGAATTAAATTAGAATAATTTAGTGTTTTAAGGATGAAATGTAAGTACTCTAGTGACATGTTTATTTGACTTTATCAATGTTAAAATGACTATGATGCGAGTCAATTGACAATGCGACTTCGCAAATATGTTATTAGCCTGAGACTTGAGTGAATACTTTTTTTTTTGGTTTGTTAAGTATAAATAGGCAATTTTAATGGCTATTCAATCACTGAGCCCTGTCTAATGAAGAGACCTAATCAACATTGAATTAATGATTATAGTTAAATATTTTGAACTTTAAGAGCTTAAATTAAATGCCTAATATTGAATTGAGATAGTATAGTTATGTCTGAGTGTCGATCGTAAAGAATTAATTTACCTGTTTAATGCTTTGTACTAATGTTCACTGTGGCTGAGTCTTCGATTTTGAGTAAAGCTTTGTACATATTTGGCAGTAAGCGAAATCAGGGGTTTCTATACGCTTATAGAATTGGACGTTTTAAAAATTGTAATATTTTGACGTGTAGGAGTTTTGGCTAAAAATATTGTAACCTAATGTAGTAGGGCTCTATAAAAGAGTTATTTAAGTACAAGGCTTTTGATTGTAACATTTCACTTACAAGCTCAGATACAGTATATAGAGGTGGCTGTAAGTTGGCATAATTTAGAACGGTTTATTCTGGTTTTAGGAAGGTGTTGGATTAGGATATAAAAAATTGGACCATTGTAATCGGAAAAGCTATGTTTCTTTTCTCATTAATAAAGTATATTTATTTATGGATAACCGTACATCAGTTGTTTCTTTCACTTGCAAATAGACCCCCCCCACAATTACCATCAAATACGACCACTCGCAATTTACCATCTAACCTAAATAATAGAGTACTTGGCGTGGATGCTACATTCTTTGCATAAGCTGTAAAAAAATGGTCGTTAGCGAGGTATTTACTTATCTTATAGCATGTAATGATCATACATTTTTGCTTGATACTTTTAATCCTATTCTTCTATGGTTTCGCGTTTTTATGTTTAATTTTTATCTTTGTAAATGCTTTTTCCTACGACTGCCTCTGAAAATGGA